AAAGTACAAAATTTGATGGAAAACTTAACCCTTTGACTGTTTTAGTCGTATATATACGTCTTACAAGCCACCGTTTTTGACGTATATATACTCATAAATTCTAGTGGCTTCAAATCAAGCAGGAGGAAGCTGGTAGACCCACATGTGAGAGAATGGGTCTGTGTGGTCATTGTGCACCATATAAAAAAAACCCTGCAGCACGCAGTGCATAATGAGAAAAAAAACTGACCGTTTTTTTAATTAAAATGCCAACTTTGCGGTCTATTTTCATATAGTATTTATGGCTGTATTCTCGTTTTCTTGGTCTCATTTGATAGAATGGAAAACATATTATAGACATAGAGGTGATTTTGATTGGTTTTACTATGAAGAGAACCTTGAAATGGAGCTCAAATTAGGGGGAATGTTTGATTTTTGCCAATGTTCAAAAGTAAACAAATGATGTCATTTTCCAATAAATGTCCAAGTAGCCATGAATGGGTTGACATTATTTATACAATTACAGTGGACCCCCGCCTTACGATGGCATTGCGTTACATTATATCCACCATATGATACATTTTAACACAAAAATTTTGCCTCGCCTCACACGATTCGTCTGGGACGCGTCCCACGTGTGGCCTCAGCGCCAGTGTTTACAAGCCAGCCAGTGCAGTTGCATCCATGCATACATTCAGCACATTTCACCTTATCCCAGTGTTTTTTGTGCTTGTAACTCCAAAATAAGTCACCATGGGCCCCAAGAAAGCTTCTAGTGCCAACACTGTGGTAAAAAGGGTGAGAATTAGTATGGAAATTAAGAAAGATTTTGAAGGGTTTGGGGCTAACCCTGAGAAGCCTATGCCAGTTGTGGAATCCATTGTGCCTACTTCGAAGATTAAGGAAATGTGTGCAAAGTGGGCTGAACTGCAAACCTTTATGGATGAAAAGCACTCTAACACAGCTATTGCAAGCCGTGCTGGTGACTATTACAATGACAATGTTGTGGCCCATTTTAGGCAAATCTTAAAGGAACGGGAGGTACAGAGCTCTATGGACAGATTTGTTGTACGACAGAGGTCCAGTGACTCTTAAGCTGGTCCTAGTGGCATTAAAAGAAGAAGGGAAATAACCCTGGAAAAGGACTTGATACCTCAAGTCATAATGGAAGGGGATTCCCCTTCTAAACAATAACAAATTCCACACCCTCCCTTCCTCCCATCCCATCAATCATCACCAGATCTTCAATAAAGGTAAGTGTCATGTATTCTATTCTTAGTAGAGTATTAATTGTGCATGTCTTCTTAAGTTTGTGTGTATTAAAATGAATATTTCATGAGGTAAAATTTTTTTTTTCAGACTTTTGGGTGTCTTGCACAGATTAATTTGATTTCCATTATTTCATATGGGGAAAATTAATTCGCCTTACGATAATTTCGGCTCACGATGAGCTCTCAGGAACGGATTAATATCGTAAAGCGGGGGTCCACTGTATTACAATATTGTAGTAGTCTGCATAACAGTAAATCTTCTATTTTTTGTTTGAATAAAAATTCAAATAGAAAGCAAGAGTAATATCAGAGGGGCCTGGAGATGTGACTGATGAACAAAAAAAATGTTATTTTAGAGCCAGGAATATCTACATTGTTCATTCTGGACCCTATTTTGAAATTGTCATACTGTATTTTTTAATTTTCGTGAAACTGGCCAAATTGAAAATTTCTGACCACGTTATTGGGTAGTTGAAATCGGTAAATGGGCAGTTTCTTGTACTCAGACGATAGAAAAAATGGAGTTCTAAAGAAATAGCTATGAGTTTGGTCTACTGGAACAATGGAATTAGCCGAAAATATGGCTCAAAGTGGGCAAAATCGCCAATTTGTAAATATCGCTGAGGTCGCTAACTTCTCGAGAGCATAATTCCGTCAGTTTTCCATCATATTTTCTTTTGGTGTCATTACAATTGGGAAAAGATTCTCTATCATTTCATAAGAAAAAATAATTTTTTTTTTTTTTTTTTTTAATTTTGCGACACCAGGAGACACCTCAGGATTTGGGGTTGCGACAGTCAAGGGGTTAACCCTTTCAGGGTCGACAGACTCTCTCCTAGACTTGTTCTCAGGGTCGCCAAATTTAAAAAAAAAGAAAAAAAAAATTTCTTATGACAAGATAGAGAATCTTTTCCCGATCATAATGACACCAAAAGTATGAAATTTGATGGAAAACTTATGGAATTATGCTCTCGCACATTTAGCGGTCTCGACGATGTTTACGCATCAGCGATTTTTGCCCACTTTGAACCCTATTTTCGGCCAATTCCAGTGTACTAGTCGACAAAAATCATAACTATTTCGCTAGAACTCCATTTTTTCTATCGAATGAGTACAAGAAACCACCCATTTATCGATTTAAACTATCCAATAAAGTGATCAGAATTTAGCAATTTTGCCAATTTCACACAAATTTCAAAAGATGCCAATTTCCAAATAGGGTCCAGAATAAACAAGAAAGACATTCCTGGCACTAAAATAACATTTCCTCTGTCCATTAGTCACACCCCCACGCCCCTCTTACATTCTTTTGCTTTCCACTTTGAATTTTTATTCTCACACAAAATAGAAGATTTACTGTTATGCAGACTACTGCATTAGTGTAGAAATGGCATAAATAATATCAGCACACTTGTGAAGGAATATTAGACTCACCAGTTGACGTGTATTGGACACGTAGCATCATTTGTTTACTTTTGAACTTTGGCAAAAATCGAAGATTTCTGCTACTTCGAGCTCAGTTTCAAGGTACTTTTCATTGTAAAACCAATCAAAATCATCTCAATTTCTGTAATATGTCTTCCGTTCTATAGAATGAGACCAGGAAAACTAGAATACAACAATAAATACCATACGAAAATACAGTGCAAATTCGCTGTTTTAATCCAAAAACACGGTCAAAGTTTTTTTTCTCATCACGCACTGTGTGCTGCAGGATTTTTTTATACCACGCACACTGATCACATATACCCATTCTTTCATATGTAGGCCTACCAGCTTTCTCTCATTAGTAACTAAATAACAAAAAAAGGCACAATACCGTGACTGGAACGATACACAAATAACCCGCACATAAAAGAGAGAAGCTTACGACGACGTTTCGGTCCGACTTGGACCATTGACAAAGTCACACTAACCAGAGGTGGAGTAGGACGGCTATATATAGGCAGGAAGAGGTGATGGTAGTAGTAGTAGTAGTACAAGAATGGTATATAATACCGACAAGATGAAATTAAGACACATGCGCAACACCCGGGTATCCCCATCGTAGACGTTTCGCCATCCAGCCAGCCACTGGATGGCGAAACGTCCACAACAAAGACAACCAGACACCGCACATGTGTCTTAATTTCATCAGTAGTTGTAGTAGTAGTAGAGGTAGTAGTAGTGGTGGTGGTAGAAGTGGGAAATAAGGAGGATGAGCCAGTCAACTACAAAGGAAGGGGAGCACTGCAAGAGAGCTAGGTGCCCACTGAGGGAGAGCAAGTGCACAGAGGTGCGTGAAAGGGGAAGTGGGAAATAAATGAAGAAGGAACAGAAACACGAGACAGAAGAGAGAAAGACAACCCAGATTAGATTTGAGGGTGCTAAAATTTAGGCTTACTAGTACGTCAAAAAGCCTGTTGCGTAAGCCATACTAGTACAGCCGAAACCCTGAAAGGGTTAAAAACAGGTTGGATAAATACATGAGTGGGTGTGGATGGTGTGAGTTGGACCTGACTAGCTTGGGCTACCAGGTCTGGTGCTGTGCTCCTGCCTTAGTGGAAGTGACCTGACTAGGTGGTCATTGTTCTAGGCCGATAAGTGGCATGGACCTGCTTCACATGGGTCAGTAGGCCTGTTGCAGTGTTCCTTCTTTCTTATGTTCTTATAGTTATTCTCTAAAAAATGTGTTTTTTGTTAATACTTTTGGGTGTCTGAAACAGATTAATTGGATTTACATTATTTCTTATGGGAAATATATTTCGGTTTTCAACCTTTTCGGATTTAGGCTGACCTAGAATGGATTACGGTTGTTAGCCAAGGGTCCACTGTATAATCTTAGTACAGTATTGACATATCTCCACCAAATCACTGCAAGTTAAAATGTGGCCCTATTAAGGAGACACATTTATATTTCATATACTGTAATGTTAAGATGTTAAAACTGTACCATACAAAAATATGTTATTATATTTTGTAAATATATAGCTAAAATCAGTGACTTGAGTTCCCTGTAAGAAAATTTCTTAACATTAAATAATTTTAAGGGTATTTATTCATTATGATGTCAGTGAACATGTCCCATGTGAATTCAAAGGGATTTCTGAATTATAATTGACTGCTTTAAATATTTTTAAATAAAGTCTTGTAGCCAGAGAATGATGCCTTGTAGTAATACAAGAATAAAATAAATGTACAGTACTTTTGCCTTGTGCAAAAATCATGTAATTTTTAATTTAGCAGTTGAATGTAATGTATTTCTGACACTTTTTAATTATTTAATTATATATCATTGAAATTTTTTTTGCTGACATTTACATAACTGCAAATGAGAATTTTTTTTTTTTTTTTTTTTTTTTTTTTTTTTCAACAAGTCGGCCGTCTCCCACCGAGGCAGGGTGACCCAAAAAAGAAAGAAAATCCCCAAAAAGAAAATACTTTCATCATCATTCAACACTTTCACCACACTCGCATATATATATATACCATATTTGTTCATCCAGAATTTGTTTCTTACGAATGAGGATTGTTTCTTACAAATGAGGAGTTGTGTCAAAGATTGACACACCTTAGTTAACCATGCCTACACTGTATGTTAGATTTGTTTCAAAATAAATTACTCAACATTTGAAAGTGGAACTCTTGAAATAATAATATTTAACAGTAGTACAACAATATAAATTTTGATCAGTCTGCAGTGCTTGATATACATTTATAACTATGTCTTACAAGTGCATGTTTACTAATTGTTGTGCTGTTCTTCCACAGCCATTCATGTCCCCAAGATATCCAGGTGGGCCTCGGCCGGGAGTTAGGATGCCACAGATGCACAACGACTTCAATGGGGTAAGTTAACCATGTTTGAGCAGTCCCACACTATTAGAATGATAATATCAACATGAGTTTAACATGTATACTTTATTGTCATTCATAGGTGTAGCATAGGAGCTACAGTAGTGCCCCTATATCCGTGGGGGATATGTTCCGAACCTGAAACTGTGAATAGTAGCAATCCCTATATATAAATCATTTTTCATTTACATACATACCTATCATAAAGTTTAATTGATAAATTAAACAAAATAAGTTTAGAATTAGCACTTTTTCACTTATGGGAAGTATTTCATGGCTTCTCTTAGGCTTTGAATAGCTGCCCACATCACTACTTTTGCACTTTGGGGCCATTATTTAGCAAAATTAAGGGTTATTTTTGCACCACAGTAAACCATGGATAACTGAAGCCGCAGATACCAAATCTGTGGATATGGGGGTCCTACTGTATAAAAAATACTGATGATTGTTTAAAAGTTTTAAGATCCCATTAACTGTGACCAATGTACTGGTACACAGGTGATGGGGATGTGTTCATCATACTAGTATACACAACTGCATGTGCCTTCACATTTACCACCTGCCAATATTTTTAACTTCAGCACTATTGTTTGGGTCTCATTCAACCTCCTCATGACTCTGAAAAAATCTAAGACCAGGAGGGTCCATGCAGTGCCTCATGGTAACACTGCCTATCTAGCATAAGTAAACAATGAAACTAGACCCTGTTGTTTCACCCCTAGCTTCCTTACCAGCAAACAGGGTGTGGAACTGCCAGGAAGATGACTTATTCAGTTCGTATTCATTATAATTTCACGATCAAACAAGTAAACATTACTATATTATTATTATTATTATTATTATTATTATTATTATTATTATTATTATTATTTAACAGTGGAATTGAGTAAAAAAGCACACTATATAGATTTAGTCTAGGATAGCTCAATATAGTCAATGTGATTTATTTCCTTGTTTTGATGAGTATACACTGGAAACAATTGTAATATCATAAGCTTTCCTTGTAAACACTGAATATGTTTTACAGTGGACTTGAAGGCACACGGAGTTACTGACATAAATTATGTTATCCAGGATATTCCTTGAATCTAAATATATAACATAAATAATTAACTTACGGTAACCTAATATTGTCAAACAGTGTGACTTATTTTCATGTTTTGAGGAGTATTATGCCTTGAAACAATTTTAATATCATAAGTATTCCTTGTAAATGATATTAGAAGACCAAAATAATAGGAAAAATTATTTGCTCCAATTTATACTGTATATATTCCAAGTGCAAATGTTGGACTAGTCATTTCTTTGTATATGAAGTACAAAAGCACCTTGAAAAACATCTGATATCATAGTTAAACATTAGAATAATAAACAACAGTCATAATTTGGCATCAATAAATTGTAGAACGTAAATATCTTTGGCGCATTTACGCTGCTGTTACCAGTGAGTGGTCATCTGTTTCAGCTTTATCGCCGTAAAATTGCAAGTTTTTATCAGATTCCACTCATTTTTGTTGTATCCGATTCATAAAAATGCACTCTTTCAGTCTGTAAAAAAGAAAATAAGGTATTACCACACAGGAAATTTAATTTCCAGGTATGTCACATCTAAGGAGTTTAATCTGTTAGGTTTTAAGTTTCTTTGGCTTCTTACCACAGACTGTAATTGCAACCAGTACATAATTGGAGAAGCTCAGTATACTGCATTTACTACAGCTAATTGGTTTACATACCATATTAAGAAATAATTATTCAGTAGCCCTTGGGGTATTTGATTCTAAACTTTTATTTACCCTGTATACATTTCATTTATTTTATTGTTAAGACATAAAGAAGTTTACCAGATGTAGAAAAAATAGTGACTCTTCTAGGCTAGGGGCTTACTACACTCTGGAGAATGCATCAGGACTTGCTGAAAGTCTTTCAGTTGTGCCTGCCATATAGAGCATGGTTAACTTTGCTAATACAGCCTCTCCGCACTTAGCGACATACTCGTTTACTGACACTTTGGACTTACGATGGGCTCTCTGACCAGTATTTATACATGAATAATGTATATTAGAGCTGCTTTCCTCTATTCTAATTATTTCAATATACAGGTACCATCTGACTTACGACCGAGTTCGGTTCCGAGAAACCGGTCATAAGTCGAAATGGACGTAAGTCGAACTTCACTACTGAATATCAACATCACATTTTTGTAATGACTTTATTTTATTGTTTTATTTTGGTATTTCATGTTTTACTTTACTTTTTATGCTGTTAGTACTGTATTTTATACTGTAAGGTTTAGGATAAACACTGTGTACAGCACAAACAGTTGTTTATTTCCCAGAAATTTGGCATAAAAAACATGGTCGTAAGTCAAGTGGTCGTATGTCAAGCAGGTCGTAAGTCGGATGGTAGGTGTACTACAGTGGAACCTTGGTTTTTATTTGCCCTGGTTTTCGTCAAATTCGGTTTTTGACAACTTTTTTTTTTTTTTGTCAAAATATTATCCCAGTTTTCCTTCTTCACCTTGGTTTTCGTGCAGGTACACATTAAAATCACTAAGAATGTCCCTCTAGTCTTAATGCCATGGTAATAATAATAATACATAATCACTCTTGGGTGCATTAAATATCTTATTTTACGTTAATATAGACATTTTCATTAATCCATCTATGATATTTTCTTCAAAATTATATAGGAAACATGTTACAAGGAGGGGTGGTAGTTGGGTGGAGGGAAAACATTACATTTTCTCTGGTCCAGCACCAAGGAAAACGTGTATGAATCTGCATTGGCCCTTAACACTTAACGCTTTTGTTTACAATTCTCTGCATGAATTATTCCTTACTTCTCCCTTTGTTTATGATGGCATCTAAAAGTAGTTGTTAGAAATGATTAAACTAAGTGAACATGGTATGTTGATGGTAATAATATGGCTCTGGGCCACATTAAATATCGTGTAGCTATGTAGGTAGGTGTCGGTATTTAGCTCAGGCGGACTACATACCTACATCTACCGGCTGCCTTTACCTGACTTCCTGCAAATAAGTACTACTCACCTCTTGCCCTACATTAAGACTACAAATATTTTAAGGTAAGTAATGAATGTATTGTGTATGTATTTTACTTTTTATTGTGTTTTTTAATGCCTGGTTCTATTATTAACTTAATATAAGTTGTGTAAACTTGACAACCATATGCCTGTTGTGGAATCTATTGTGGCTTTGGGGAAGTCCATGGGATTAGATGTGAGTGGCCAGGTTGTGGAAGGGTTGGTGGAAGATCACAGGGAAGAGCTAACCACTGAAGAGTTGCAACACTGTAGTTATTTTTTTTATTTTTTTATTAACACACTGGCCGATTCCCACCAAGGCAGGGTGGCCCGAAAAAGAAAAACTTTCACCATCATTCACTCCATCACTGTCTTGCCAGAAGGGTGCTTTACACTACAGTTTTTAAACTGCAACATTAACACCCCTCCTTCAGAGTGCAGGCACTGTACTTCCCATCTCCAGGACTCAAGTCCGGCCTGCCGGTTTCCCTGAATCCCTTCATGAATGTTACTTTGCTCACACTCCAACAGCACGTCAAGTATTAAAAACCATTTGTCTCCATTTACTCCTATCAAACATGCTCACGCATGCCTGCTGGAAGTCCAAGCCCCTCGCACACAAAACCTCCTTTACCCCCTCCCTCCAACCTTTTCTAGGCCGACCCCTACCCCGCCTTCCTTCCACTACAGACTGATACACTCTTGAAGTCATTCTGTTTCGCTCCATTCTCTCTACATGTCTGAACCACCTCAACAACCCTTCCTCAGCCCTCTGGACAACAGTTTTGGTAATCCCGCACCTCCTCCTAACTTCCAAACTACGAATTCTCTGCATTATATTCACATCACACATTGCCCTCAGACATGACATCTCCACTGCCTCCAGCCTTCTCCTCGCTGCAACATTCATCACCCATGCTTCACACCCATATAAGAGCGTTAGTAAAACACTATAGTTATTCTCTATAAAATGGATTTTTTGTTAATATTTTTGGGTGTCTGGAACGGATTAATTGGATTTACATTGTTTCTTATGGGAAATATTGCTTTAGTTTTCATCGAATTTGGTTTTCGTCAGACTCTCTGAAACGAATTAAAAACGAAAACTGAGGTTCCACTGTACAGTACACTACTGTATAAACATTTAAAAATATACCAAAAATGTTATAAATGGTGCAAAGGTGACATTAAAACAATATCAAAGATTGTTGATACAAACTCATTACCATTATGGTATGCTCCTCACTTAGCGATGAATTCGACATGGTTTTAGGAACAGAACTCCATTGTAAAGTGAGTAGAGGCTGTACAGATACTTAATTTTTACTGACACAATTTTAATTGATTAAGGTTTCTCATGTCTAGAATGAGTGTTGAGTCTGCCTACTTTTTTTTTAATTACATTTTATCTATTATGATTTTTTCATTTGTTATTTCTATTTCTTTATACAGTACTATGCATTTGTTTTTATAGACCTTCTTTTATTTAGTCGCACCGTACTCAGTTTGTGTAGAGTAGAAGCATCTGGAAACTATCCTCTGTATATACAGTACAGTGCTCTGAAGATATTGCAAATAATTGATTGAACTGTTTATTAATTTTAGGTTTAGGTACCTGCATGATACATAAGTTGTATTTTGCATAAAAAATTGGGATATACTGTATATAAAATTACAGCATTAACCCTTTCAGGGTCCAGAGGCCAAATTTCAAAGTGTGCACCAGGGTCCAAGAATTTTCAAAAAATAATTTTGTTATTTTTTCTTATGAAATGGTAGAGAATCTTTTTCTGAAGGTAATAAAACCAAAAGTACGAAATTTGATGGAAAATTGACGAAATTATGCTCTTGTGAATTTTGATGTGTTGGTGATATTTATGCATCGGCGATTTTGCCGACTTTGACTCCCATTTTACAACAATTACAGTACGTATTCCAGTCAACCAAATTC